ATTTGTAATTGCCTATAGGTGAATGTATTCATGCAAGTAATTTAACTTCAGACTCTTAAATTCTTCACAGTTACTCCTATTTCTCCCCCTTCTGAGCTGTTGTAATAAATTACTTTCCAACATCTCTTTGAGGAGATACAGGTAAGTGTGTCCCTCCTTATTCAATTGGTTGGAGGAGATAATACTGAGCAACCAGTTTTTTTTTTCTTGTTGGAAACTGAGTTTATCACATGCATTGAAACTTTACCTTTTCATCTTTAATCATTCTCCATTTATCTTTGGGTAGGGAAGAAGCTGGGAGTAGGATGCTACTTGATATAATCAGCTGTCTACATATTTTTTAAACAGTTTTCTCAGTGCTGTTCTCTACCTAGAACTGAACTCACTGAATCACTTTGCTTTACTTTGTGGCTTTAACAGACTTTTGGGTTTGAACATACTTGCAGCAGGTTCTTACAAAGATTTTGTAGTAAATAAAATAAGCAACATATTTTCTAAAGAATAGAAGAGTGCCTTCTGTATATGTAATTGATTTTTTTTTTTTTTTTGCTAAGAAGTCACTTCATTCATTCATAAAACAGTCTTTCTAAAGACTTTGGGTTGCTGGTTGCAACAATCAACTTCATTATCGTTATGACATGAAGGAGTTCTTTTCTCTGGCTATACCGAAAGGAGGCCAGGAGACTCCTGACATGGGTTTAATCAGGCCGCAACTTTATTATTAGATGTCTGGGACTACCCGGCAGATAAAATTGTACAGTGCAGGTAACCCCATGTTTTTTCCGTAATTACCTGGGGGGCTTTTACCAGCTCCCCCACTTTTTCCATCCATGTCCCTCCAGCAAATCCATTGCCAGGACCTTACCATCCACCCCCCTCGTAGGAGGGTTAAGGTGGGCTATAGGAATGGGGGGTTGGCTCCCTGCCGTACCAATCATAGGAGTCCCCAACTGCCCCCATTCATTCCTTTAATGAATACCTCTTTTAAAGTCCTTTTCCAAGCCATTTATCTGGTCACTGTATACCTTTCCTCTGGAGTACCTGCACTGGACATCCGCTCGACACTTAAATAATGAGTTGCGAAATATAGCCTTCTGCCCTTCATGCCATGCATGAACAGAACACTAACTGAACTCACTGTGGGGAAGGTGAAAAAACCCCAACTGCACCCAAGCCAATATGGTGGTAAGGGAAAAATTCTTTCCCAGCCCCCCTAAAAAGGGGTGGCTGGTGTAATGCCCACAGCAGGTCTTGACCAAACCTGGTATTTTACCACATGAAGGGTAGGGAGGATGGATCCTGCTTTGTACTGCTCCATGTAAAAGGGAGGCTTCAGGTCCAGTGCTGCCCCTTTTAAACCCTGCATTCCTAGGGGATGAGTCAGCAACCCTGCTGACCCTATTGCAGCACATTTCATCTCGCTCTTCCTTTCCTTCCCCTACCCAGCCATAAAGAACGGTTGCCTTCATTTTGCCAGCCCACCAAACACCCCCCTGCTTAAAGGTGCAGGGCGGTCATTGGCCATACAACTCAGTCTTGTAAAACCCCCATAGCTATATCCCTTTGGATGTTGTGTTTAGCCAACACTGCTGCTTTTTGGTTTCTCCTCTTTGTGTCTATCCCAAAAGAGCCAGGTAGAATTGCTATCAGTAGAACATAAGGACTGCTTGCTCTGTGTGCATCTTCCCAAAGGGTATGGGAGAAGGTGGCCATTGACCAGCCCCATTTCTGCACCAGCCTACAGAATAGACAGTGCATACTGCTAGTAGCTTCCACACACAGGCTGCATCTATACTTGGAGCTAGGTCTGTGATTTCCATCTTGCGTAAACGTACTCTTGCTAGCTCTCATTGAGCTAGCATTCTAAAAACAGTAGTGCAGCTGTAGTGGCACAGACAGCGGTGAGCGGTGGGATGGGTTAGCTCTCCAGACTACAGACCTGCCTGGGCCCTGTGAGTAATTACTCGGGGTGGCTAACCTGTGCCACCACTTCCCATGCTACTGTAGCTACACTATTATTTTTAGCATGCTAGCTAAATGAAAGCTAGAGTGAATGTGTCCACACGAGCTGGGAATTGCACCTCTAGCTCCAAGTGTAGATGTAGCCAAAGGTAGTATAGTTATTTACTCCAGATGGCCTGAGCATTTCCCCCAGCACTGGAGAGCTCTTGGGTAGCCCAGCACTGCCCTCTTCTGAAGGCAATGGCTAAAGGACAAAGCCTGCCCCGTAACTGTTTGAAATTTTTTCATAGAAACTTTTTTTGAAGGAAAATTAGGTTTTTTCATCTAAATGAAAATTATAGTAGAAAGTATTTGCTCCTCTCAATTTTTTTCATATTTAACCCCCCCCCCCAAATACTTTACATCCAAAAGTTTAAATTTTCTTTAAAGCTCACTTTCCAACCAGCTCTTCCTATAAGTTTTATGGCAACACATTATGCTATCATTAAAGTTATCATGTTGCTACAAATATTCAATATGACAGTACTGAAATAATTTGTTTGGGTGGGAAAAAATCTTTAGAAAAATGGGACTGGTTGATAGTTAAATATTTTGTTTTTTATTTTGGCTGGCAATATTTGGGAGCCACACATTTAAAAGCATTTTACTATACGTCTTTAAATATTTTTTAAACCTTTTTTAAAAAATTCTTCCAAGGAAAGTGCAAATGCACACAAACCTTTTCAATGAAATGAACAAGATATTTTAAATTAATACAATCATTATTACCAGCATCAGGACAAATGATTTTTTTGTGTATATAAAAAGCCACTAGCTGAGGCAACAAATTTGCTTTCACATGGATGCATTAATATGGCTCATATGTAATGTCATTATGAAAACTTTAGTTTACATTTTTAAATAGTATACACTGATCCTATGATTGTGTGCTGGCCATCTCCTGTGTCAAAGGTTTTTTTTTTTAAAAAAGACAACTGAACTAAAAGCATAAAGCAATAATGAATTTTACTTTATTAGTTCTGTTGTCTTTTTAACTTTGACACAGAAGAGGGCCAGCTCACAATCATAGGATCAGTATATACTGTTTAAAAATGTAAACTAAAAGTTTTCATAATGACATTATATATGAGCCATGTTGTATCAAGCTGCATTAATACATCCACATGAAAGCAAATTTGTTGCCTCATTATGTTGCCAATAGTTATTTTCCCATCAGAGCCAGCTGACACTTCAGTCATTTTGAATAAACTTCATGTGTTTAGAATTTCATTTTCTGCAGATGCCTGTCTGCATGTTCAGATCCCTGCATTTGTGTATATGAATAGATATTTGCACACTTCGATGCCTGTGCTCAGTGATTGTGACTGCAGTTTAGAAGGCTGCAGTTGGTGTAGAACATAGAAGATAAATCCTACTGGAAGTAGGAAAAATAGTGGATGATCTTAATAGCGTGTACCCATAAAATAATTTGCTAAATAGTCTATAACTAATGCTCCAGGGTTTAAAAGGCAGACCAACACCTTTTTCCTGGTTTCTAGACTTCCAGCTTGTGTGTACAATGAGTTACTGCGTGGCAAGCTAAGATGTGAATCTACCGTGCATTACTTTGCCATGTGGTAACTCACTGTGTGGACACTGCTATAGCACAGTGAAAATCTCCATGTATGGCTCTCAGTCCCTAGTTTTTGTAGCTCAAAGGTGGTGTGTTCCTGTAAAATAAGAACATGTAAAAAGAAAAGATTTAAAATGTTTGTCTTCAGATTTTTTTTTACAATGGATTTGATATTTATAGCATTTTTTTAGCTCCTGCTAATCTGCTGAGTTTACATATCTTCAACAACAGAATAATCACTTCCTGTTTCTGTTGTAAAGGCAATCTTCTGTAGTACCTTTTATAGTAAGACCTGAAACATTGTGTGAACACCCATGCGTTTAGCTACATTTTACTATTTTCATTAGATTGTTTCAAAAGGAGTTCAAAATATTATTACATATGGTTAATATTCCATTATAGTCTCATATCAAGAGTGTATTCATAACATTTTTTAGAGTTCCATCTTTCATCAAGGCTGCCTGTATTGTCTTGATACGTAGGGCTTTGAGTCAGGAAAAAAGAAAAGATGAAGAAAAATTTCCAGTTGTTTGAAAATAACTTGCTATTGGCAATGAATGCTATAGCAGTGCATTTATTTTTTTCCTCCTTTGCTTCCTCATTCCTTTTAAGGCCAATATGCTTTGATATGAGGATACTTTGTTTAAATTTCATTAAGTTTTTGGAATAAGAAAAAGTAGTTTTTGTATTGACTGTTTGATATTGCAGGATATTGTCAAACCTGGCTGCCTAAAGTTAGTCTCCCAAAACCATATTTCGGTAACTAATTTAAATGATACTTCTGAAAGTTAGACCACCAATGCTATACTGTAAATGGGGCTCAGAATTCCAGGGCATTGACACAATCAGAGAAGATTAACTACAAAATCTGAGTAGTGGATGGAACTACCTTTTGTACAGTGTATCTTGAGTGGGAAAATAGATACCTGGTGAAGTGCTCTCAGTATGCTTGTTCAGGAACATTGCCAATAGTCCTTGCACTAGCCCTGCCTCAGGAGTGTTGTGGCCAGGATTCTAGTGTGATGCATCCCAACTGGCAAAATGCGGGCACCATGACGTTCTCTGACTTTTCTGCCCCACCACTGGCATATTGCACAGTGACCTCAGCTGTGTAAAGCACTGCATCCCAATGTTGAGAATCAAGATTGAGTTTTCTGACATGAAAGGCTGATGTGTTCTGTAACTGGATCTTCTGTATTATGGCAAGAAAGAGCAGAGACTGCTATATGTGACCCATTCTGGGGAAGATTCTAAGTCACCAATTCTTTGAGCCCTGCAACAGACAGAAGGAAAATGAAGAGTGGTGTTACTGATGTAAAGATTCTATGTATTTGTATGTTTCTTGGGTTTTTGACATAGTATTGTAAGGCTGCGTAGGATAGTTCTTCTTACATTTTTATTGCTCCCTTTTATACTTACTTGATAGGCCACAGAGCTGTGTACATTGGTGTACATGTCCCATTTGGAAAGGAGGGCCGTCGACGTCATAGGCATCGTGGACATAGGCATCACAGAAGAAGAAAAGAGAAAGAAACTGATAGAGAAGATGGGCGAGAATCTCCATCATATGGTAAGAAAATTCTGCCTTATGGGGCTTTTTCATGTTGTTTAAAGAAAAACCCCCAAACAATAGCTAATCTAGATTATTAAACCTCGCTCTGTTTTCTTCACTATGAAAATATCTGGGATCAATTTAAGAGTAATTACTGTTAATAGCGGGCAGAGGTTTTGTGGCTGTGCTCTATTTAAATCACAAGTTATTTGGGTCTGTATAGGTATCTCTGGGTGAAGATCTATTTCCTTTGGTATACAGGAAGTCAGACTATATGATTCCAATGGTCCTTTTTGACATAAAAATCTATAGATTGTTTACATGTCAAGAGTCCTCTAGGTTTTGTGATCTTGTGTTGTTCTTCCTTGTTGCATCATTCAATGCCACCAGTAGTGTGCTGGAAGCCACATTGTGCTGTGGTCCACATTGTGCTGTGGTCCACATTGTGCTGTATTGTCCACAGATGTATTACAGTGAGTACTTCAGCCTGTCTGCTGCTTGGGGTGACCTGAGAGTGACCAAAAGCAAGGGAGTGTCCCACCTCCTGAAGTTTTTTCTACCCCCAAAGTGGCCAGTGGCTCAATCCAAATTTCCTACTGCAAATTTCTGAAGGAAATTCCAAACTTAATTTAAAAATGTTAGACTAACAGTTTGACCCAGTTTCTCTAATCCCTGATCCAGGGCCAAATTTGACTTTGGTGGAGATTATTCCTTCTGCTCCACCTCTCTTCTGAAGAGTTTGCCACTTCAGGCTTCTAAGAGAGAGCTAGGACGAGGAAACATCAAAGCCAAAAGGAAAGGCCTGTGACTCCTGCTTTTCCTCCTTTTCCCCAGTTATATTGAATGCCCTGTTAGGGGGCTCAGCAAGCTCTGTGGGTAGAACCTTGTAGCCCAATCTGGGCAGGAAAGGGAGCCAAGCAAGATTGAATAGGCCAGCTCTGATCCCCAGGCTGGATGGGGTTGCTTCAGCAGGAAAAGAGGCAGGCATGACGAGAAAAGAACTGAGTATGGAACAAGAAGTTTCCTCCTCATCTCCATGAAGGGAGTGACGCCAGAAGGGTAGAGCGCCAGATGGAGGTCATGCCTGCGTCCCTAAAGCCCGCACCAGCGGCCACTCCTTTGCGGTGTTCTCACCTCCTTCTCTTCCGCTTCCTTGTGGGTTGCAGATAGAGGCACCAAACCAAGGTGGATTAAAAAAAACACCTTTATTTAAAAAAAACTATGGATTTTTTTTAATGATTTTTTTCTTTTTAAAAATCTATTTAAAATGAAATCCGAATTTAGGCCGTAGCATATTTTGTATTAAACGTCTTATAATTTTTAAAACATTTAAATAAAAAATAAATATGTTGAATCCATGACTCTCTCAAAAGACTTTGAGTTAAAGACTGCTTTTCTATGTAAAGAATGAATCAAGTCGAAAAAAAATCTAACTTCTGTGTGTTTAATTAAATTCTCATTACCATCCTAATGCAGCTTGACACAAGTCATGAACCAGAAGTCAACTATCTAGTAAATAAGCAATATATTTTTCACCATTTTCTAATGTACTAAAATGTAAAATTAATAAAAATACTAAGCTATATAATTGCTTAAATAGATCTATATAGTTACAGTGTATCATCCTAGGTAGCAAAAAGATATACCAAATCTATTATAATGGCTCTATTTAGTTGTAAATCAGCAGATTTTAATGGTTATATCAATAAATGAGTGTGATGTTATTGACATGAACTGTAACCATATAGATTATTGTTGCAACCAAGGTCCGATAGAGTGGACCCTCACTAGAGCGCACATCGCTAGAGCACGGATTCGCATGTAGCGTGGTTGCAGCGATGGACACAAATTTAAATGTTTAAATTGGGATACATGGTAACGCGGCCCCCGCTTTAACACAATACCGCGCATGGATCCCGAACCCCGTGTTCTAGCGAGGGTCTGTGTAGTTCCACTAAATCTTGTACAAAGGAGGTCAAATAAGGTGTCTATGGAAAGCTTGTAATTTGCTGGTTATGATTATGCTGTCTGTATGTGTGTATCATTTTTGTATTTGTATCTGAAGGTATGAATATTGCCTCTGTACTTGTATCATGGAATCATAGAATATCCAGATTGGAAGGGACCTCAGGAGATCATCTAGTCCAACCCCCTGCTCAAAGCAGGACCAATCCCCAATTTTTGCCCCAGATCCTTAAATGGCCCCCTCAACGATTGAACTCTCAACCCTGGGTCTCAATGTGTTTGATTCTAAGTAGCATCAGTGAAGCACTTGGTCAGCTTCTTGAGAAAGGAGTATTCTGAGTAAGTGCCCAATCCTTTCTCTGTGACATTTTGTTCCTTCCCTAGGAATTTTCACTTTGAGAAAATCTTGCACTGAAGATCTGTGGACATAACCCTGAGAGAGGATGGGAGAATTTGTGATTGCTTACCTGAAAATGTTCTTTTCATTGAAGAGAGAGGTCCGCAAATCTGGCCCTCCCTGAAAAAGGCAGATCTGTTTACCTTGCGGTTAAACTTTTCTTGTTCACCTCATGTTGAATATTATTTTTGCAAGGTGCAGGTTGAGAGATTTATTTTTTTTGTTTTATGGTCCAGAGGGGCTAGTTTTGGCAGCATCTTGAAACTAAGGGGAGTCACCAGAAGGGGGGGACTAGTCCCCAGCCTTCCAGTCAGCTTTGATTTTGCCTCCTAGAGCTGCAGACTGGTGATGACCCCCACTGAGCATCTGTGGACTTATCCCTTCAAAGAAGGGAAAATTTTCACGTAAGCAACCAAAGTTCTCCCACGTGCAACCTTACCTCTGTCTGTTGAAATGGACAACCATTATAATAGTTCCATGATTTATTGTCTGGGGCTTATTTTCCTTTTTAATGTCTATAGTCGAATTGTGCTTCTCTTTGAAGAGAAAAAAATAGATATGATCTATTTTGCTTTCAAGTATGAGACTAAGATGTCTTGCCCTTTGAGTTTGTGTTGACTTTTTTCATGTTACCAATTTTGTTGTTGATGTTTGTTTTGAGGTGTGAAATTATGGCAAGAGTTTAAATATTTTTAAGCTCTTGTCATAATTTCACAAGTGTGTTAACTAGAGTATAGAAGTAGCTTATTTTCATCCTCCTCCTTTTGTTTTTAGAAACCCATTACAGGAAACCTGTATTTGGCAAACTATTCCCATCTTCTTCTGATGAGAGATTTTCAACACTCCATGTTCCAACACTCGCTCCACTGTGAGAGGGAGGATAACGTTTTAATTATTGCAAGGTGTTAACATTTCAATAGAAGTATTACCTTTTAAATCATTTTTTTTTCCATCAAGACACCCCATCCCAACGAGTGCAGTTTATTCTGGGTACTGAGGATGATGATGAAGAACACATTCCCCATGATCTCTTCACTGAAATGGATGAACTGTACTTCAAGGATGGGGAAGAATATGAATGGAAAGAAACTGCCAGGTGAACCAAACATAGATCTGTTTCATGTAACCTTTTCCACTGATCTTGTTTACTTTGTCCTCAGAAATCAATTTTAGGTTAGAATTTTCAAGTCAATGAGCAGGAAATTTGCCTCCCAGTTAACATTAACACCAATGAAAATTGAAAGTTTGATTCTCTGGGCCCCTCCTTGAAACTATACCCAGACCTCTGGAGGAAATTTCTTGAAGGTCTTTATTGTTGCTGTGCTGACTTTATTTCCTAAAGTTGATTGAATGTAGTGTTGCAAACAGTATAGGGATAACTGACAGTGAGTACAGATGTTCTAGTTACATAGTATTGTTTTTGCTGTGACAAAAAGTAAACAAAAATGGAAGGACGGGAAGTCATTGATACTAATTTATTGTATTTTTCTTTCAAGAAACAAAAGAACCCCAAGCTAGGTAATAACACACACTAAACTACATTAAAAAAATGTTAATTAGGTTGCAAAGTCAAGTACTTGAAAGTTAGCATATGCCAGATTTATGGTTCTCCTGTGCAACCTTAATTTTCCCCTCCTTGTGCATATGCATTGTGATAGTCTTTTGTATCTGATATCTTTAATTACGTGATCGCATACTATCTTTTCCACAACGCACAGTTTGGACACCCAAGAGGCAGAACTAAGATTGCATGAGCATCTGTAAATCTGGCATTTCCTAACTTTTGAGTGCTTGACTTTGCAGTTTATGTATCATTTATTAGTATAGTACCATAGATATGCATAGTGATTTATAAACTAAATATTTTCGACATGTTTCTGACTCCAAAAGCCTACAATCTCTGTTTGATGGATATAAATCATACAGTTAAAAGATTAACTGAGTGTGGGAATGCTCTGTCTTGGTTGATCATGCTTGGTACCTGGGCAGAGAGATGTTGGGCCACGAAGGTACTTAGGCACCTAGATTAAGGTACTTAGGCACCTGGATTTAGGTGCTGCTGCAATCCACAAAACCCCTGCTCAGCTGCTGCTTAACTCTATAGGTATCTAAACTCACTTGGCACCTAAATTCTCAGGGTGAAATTTCCTTAAGCACCTAAGTTTCCACCTCTGGGTGCCCGGCTGACTATCTCATACCCAAACCCAAGCGTGATCCATAAAGCAGAATACGTAAACATTCATTCCCTCATCTCTCATTACTGTGGGACTTGATCCAGTAGGTGTGGTCTGAGTTTGCCTACCACATTGTGCCCCATTCTGAATTCAGCTGGTGGTAGTACCTCCCTTATAACTGTTAGCCCAGTGGTTAGAGCACTCACCTGGAATGTGGGAGACCCTAATCACTGGGCTACGGGGAATTCTGACGTGGGTCTTCCACAGTCTCTCCTATTGAAAGAGTTTCACTTTTTAGAGAAAGATGAGAGAGAGAGAGAGACTCTATATTGTGATGATCAGGGCACCCATCTGGTAACTGGAAGACACAGTGTCCAGTCCTCCTGCTCCATGACTGCTTATCCAAAATGAAAAAGCTTCAGCAGGAGAGGTTGAGGGGGCCCCACATGAGGATACCCCATAGCTCTATGGTTAATGTACTGAGAGATGGGAGACTCCTGTTCAAATCCTTTATTCGCCTCAGGCTGAGCGGGGACTTGAACCTGGGTCTCCCACTACTTCCCATTGGCTAGCTTAAGCAGCTTCCTGTCTAGCAGGCTGGCTTTTGTGAATTCCAATTTTAGGCCCCTCTCTCTCCCCAAACATTGTGTGGGGAGACTAGGCACCAAACTCAGGCTGTGTGAATCCCATTGTTGTTCCAGTGACTTTCTACACACCTAGCAGTTAGGCGTTGGGGTATTCAGTGTTGTGACACCTACATCCTTTTGTGGATCTGGGCTGTTGTTTCAAACATAAGAAGTGGCATGAAAAAAAGCAGAGTCAAGTATGGGAATGGATGATAGAGGATGCATTAAGGTAGAAGGATTGAGCATGGAGCATAGGGGCTGAAAGGGGGTGTAGACAGAAATAAAAGATGATATAAGCAGGTGGATATACTTTTTGTTTTGCAGCCTACTGCAAACAGAAAAAAGTCTCTTCAGTAGTAATCTGTACATATGCCATAATATATATTTATATTTCAGGTGGCTAAAATTTGAGGAGGATGTTGAAGATGGTGGTGATCGATGGAGCAAACCTTATGTGGCAACTCTGTCTCTGCACAGTCTCTTTGAACTGAGAAGCTGTATTCTAAATGGGACAGTCATGTTGGACATGAGAGCAAACACACTAGATGAGATAGCAGGTTGTAACAAAAGTTTTTTTGAAAGACTTAATCTTTGCTAGTTTACACTAGTTTGTGACTTAAAAACACGAAAGCAGTTTACATTTAGTCTTTATATTCAGTTACAATTTGTCTTTAAGATTTGTTTCTGCAAACTTCACTCACATGAGGAGTCCCATTGGGACATACTGTGTATGTCTACACAGTAATTAGACACCTGTGACTGGCCCATGCCAGTCAACTTTGGCTCGTAGGGTTTGGACTGTGGGGCTGTTTCGTTGCTGTGTAGACTTCCAGGCTCAGGCTGGAGCCCGAGCTATCGGTGCCTCTCACCTCACAGGGTCCTAGAGCCCAGGCTGCAGCCCAAGCCAGGAAATATACACAACAATGAAACAGCTCTGCAATCTAAGCCCCACGAGCCCTAGTCAGCAGGCATGGGCCAGCTGCGGGTTTTTCTTTCTGTTTAGACATACCCTAAATTGTCTTTGTTCTAATCTTTGGTTGGACAACAAATGTATCTTCTTGTCTCTACAGGTGAAATGTAAATATGTATCAGGATACTTGAGGGATAATTTGTACTGTGCTGTAAACTATTAAGCACTATTCAGCTGATGTTAGCTATTGCTATTAGTGCAGTTCATTGTTGCACAGCTTGATTTAAACTTTCACTTTATCAATGGTAAGAGGTGAGCTGAAACAAAACTTATGTTATTTAACTTAGCATGTTGAATGTCCTCAATGGTCTCTAATTAATTCTGAGTATGTAAAAGCAGCTTTCAAAACGTTTTGCATATATATATATATACACTTAGAATAGCAAGTGGCTTTTATTTTAAGATCCTTTGGGCTAGTTTCATTCCATTTTCCTGGTAACTGTGATTTCACTGAGTGATGCATTTGTGTGACTCATAGTGGTCCTATTGCTGACCAGCAGGATCATGGGGTACCAAAAGAGGGAGGGACAAAGAGTTTTCAGTAGAATTCTCAAAATCTCCTAAGTGACTTAGGAGCTTCTGAAAATTTTACTCTTTAGCTCCTTGTATTGAGTTCTTTTCTTAGCTTATTTAGTGGGAGCATTTAGTACACACTTTTGAAGTAAATAAAACCTACAGATTTTGTTTTGTCAGATTATATTTGTCAGTGATGTTAGCGCAAAAGAACTTTCCAAGTCATCTTCAGTATTTGTCATGTTTCTAAAAAGTTCGTAAATACTGAAAGAAGCTGAGCTAGAAGATATTGAAAGACATGCATAATACTGTCAATATTTGGACACACAGGTCTATTTTCCAGTTCCAGTGAAGGGTCTCAGTGACTGGATATCAATCTTTGACTTGTTGTGGAGGTGTAAAACTGTTCTGTTTTCTCATGTTGCAGACAGATTTAGTGGGTCTCGTTGGTTCCTATTCAAAACTATGAAAGGCTGAGAATCTCTCTGAGGCTGCAGAGCCATAGGGAGGGGCAGGACATCTTGCCAAGAGAAACCCTAACAACCACCACCTCAAACTAAAATTTATGTTTCTAAATACAGTCCTGTCTCAGGACTTCATTACATATATTAAGAATAAAGCCAAAGGATGGGGGATAACTTTGGCTTATAAACTATTGCTTATAAACTATTTTGTGTGCATGTGGTGTGTGTACAGTATGTAGATCAGAGTGAGGGTTGTTCCTGTTTGCAGATCTGTAATTGCAGTGCAGTTCAGACCATTGCTCATTCTTTCATACCCTTCATCTAAGTTTGAAGTACCTTTTAAAATTGGTCATGCCACTCTCACTCTATCTAACACGTGCACACAAAACCTAATGTTTCCTGTGTTAGGGGCATTCTGGTTGGGCAGATTTAGATGAATAAAACTAAGACCAAGAAATATCAGATCACAAATAGGTTCACAAGAATTGCCATACTGGATCATACCCGCGGTCCATCTAGTCCAGTTTCTTGTCTCTGACAGTGGTCAGCACCCGATGCTTTGGAAAAAGGTACAAAAAAACTTCTTAATCCCTAGTAGTTAGAGATTGGCTTAAACTCTGAATCATGAGGTTTAATCTCTTCCAATTTTTTTCATCATTATCTATTACAATGCTGGCTGGATATTCTTGTTGTTCATATAAATGTCCAATCTCCCTTTGAACCTTGCTAATTTTTCATCCGTAGTGACATCCTGTTACAATGAGTTCCACAGTTTATATGTATAAATAAATAAATCTTAAAATGAATTACTTGTCTAATCTAGATTTGCTAAAACAGATTTATTTAATAGGATATTCAGGGCAATATTCTATGGTAGTGGATTTTCCTGTAAGAATAATATATTAGTTAATCTCTCTTTCCTCTGAAAGAGGAACAGATGCATATATAGTATATCCTAAAGACTATTTTTTTAAAAAATTAACATTATAGGACTCACTTCATTTGAGTATCAGAGCATCACACTATTACTAAAATTTCAGACATTGTGGGCATTTTAAAGATCCCAGGGAACTTTCTTATAAAAGCTATAATGTTAACCAAGTGTCTTCTGTAATTATATTTGGCCTACCTCAATTCCTTTTCATTTTCAGTTAGATACATATCTTAACCAGAAAAGGAGTACTTGTGGCACCTTAGAGACTAACCAATTTATTTGAGCATAAGCTTTCTTTTTGCGAATACAGACTAACACGGCTGTTACTCTGAAACATATCTTAACCAGTATAGATTGCTGTGTGTGGTGTTATGTGCTGTAATCGTGTTTATCTTCAGAGGAGACTGTGTTGCTGTGGTAGATAGTGATCCCTGCATAGTTTATTTTGTTTATAAAACATTATATCATCTTTTAATACAACAGGTACTATATAAATGTAAGTTCTTAACCTTACTAGGGATCTCAATATAAGTATTAGAAATGGTAAAATGTAACAAAAAGGTCTTTGTATTTTGCTCAAAACAGATTCATACAAATTTCTTCCAGATAAGGCTTGTGTTACTGAGTTTGTGCAACTTAAGGTGTCGGCCTAGAAATCTTTCAAGATTCTTTAAACTAGTCAGTAAAAGAAAATGCTGGTTGTTGTTTTACACAGCCATATAGGCAGATTTTCATTCCTCAGTTTATATTTGAGGTATTTTGGAAACATGGCTGATCATATATTTTCATGTGATTAAAAATATCGAAAAACCCACCCAAATTTTGCAAATTGACCAGTTTTGCGACACTTTACATGTCATTCTCACTCTTTTGTAAAAATGTGAAATGGAAAGTCCGGTAAGGAATCTTGAAGGTGAGGGCAACTTAAAAAAAGAAAGTTTAGACATTTGAAGGATTAGGTTAGTCATTTCAACTATGTTGAAAGAACACTGAAGTTGAAAAATCAAGCACTCAGACATTAGGAAATTCCAGAATTAAGGTTGCTATGCAGAGATTTCTATCCAGTTTGTACATCAAGCCCTTGCTTGTGGTAGTTTTTGCAACTGCACTGTTTTCCAGTGAAGAGTGGTGTTTATTTGATGTATCATTGAATACAATACACACCTGCTTTTTGTAATGAAGGCTGTAGTAAGTAGGAAGTTGAAATAAAGATGAATGACAATATTTTGTTAAGTGGTTAACAAATCTATTTATTCCTGTAGGCCTTGTATTTTAAAGTGCTGTGTGCTTTGGAAAGAATACTGTTGAATGATCCAGAGAAACATTTGCTCAAAGTGCGTAGATTTGAAGTGTTGGCCCACAATATTCTTGGCTATTTCTTTTCAGTGGATCTAGATGCACAGTTTGCCAAAGAAAATAAACATGATTCTTCATGAATTAATTTTACTGATTTTTCAGATGTGAGTTGATGTGGTGGTCTTGGGTATGCATATATTTAACTTAGATTTGATTTTAGTATTTTTCTCATGATAGATATGGTGTTGGACAACATGATTGCTTCAGGTCAGCTGGATGAGTCCATAAGAGAGCATGTCAGAGAAGCTCTCCTCAAGAGACACCATCACCAGAACGAGAAGAAATTCAGCAGTCGGATTCCCCTGGTTCGGTCCTTTGCAGATATAGGCAAGAAACATTCTGACCCTCACTTGCTTGAACGAAATGGTGAGATAAGTTGTAGCATCTAATTTATTCTAACCTGATACAAATATATATTAACACGGGAGAGGCGGGAGAAGACAGCAGATAATAGTGGATACATTTTCTGAGTCCTCCTTGGTATGTAAAAGTTGTGTGGTGGTTCTTTTGTGGAGTTGGGACATTTACCTATATTTTGCATGTATAAAGTCTTGTTTTGCTCCTTGTAACCACTATGATGTCTTGACTTACTGTCTTTATTTATGCTATAGTATGGTTTAGTTGTCTGTTATGAATAAGGCTATGATTTAGTCATGGGTATTTTTAGTAAGTCATGGACAGGTCATGGGCAATCAACAAAAATTCACAGCCTGAGACCTGTTCATGATTTATACTATAAATACACTTGACTAAATCTTGGGGGAATCACTGCTGAGGGGCTGCTGGTGGTGGGGAGGGGGAGTGTGTGCTGCGTGGGGGGGTGGCCCAGCAATATATTCAGTTGGTCATAACACTTTCACAGGATATGTTTCAATTAATTCTATATTTTTGGAAGGTTTAAAGTCATCCTATTACCTCAGCCAGGCAAAGCTTCATGTGCATCAAGGAGTCTGACTACCGGATTATAGCTTCCAATTCAGTCTCTTTTATTTATTGTTTTAGAGACTTAATCAAGGTCTTAATGGTCAGTGAAATTTTTAATTTTTATTTTGTATTAATTGTGTTCATCTTACTTGAGTTTTGCTTTCATATAGTTGTCCAAAAAGGGAGTTCATATTTTTAAATTCAAAATAATAAACTACCTCTAGCTAAGGTTTGTTTAGTACAGTAGAACCTAGGTAAAAAACATCTTCACAGGATGTACCATGTCTCCTGCTGATAACTAATTTCTGACCACACTCTGGCATCCTGATGCATTTTTTCCAGGTACTCAATTCCTAAGTTCAAACATTATCACTCCAGGACAGCTTATCTTACCTTTTATTCTTCCTTTGTGGCCTCTGCCACCCCCCCCGAGTTCTCCATCTTCTGTTTTGGATTTCCAGTCACATCCACCTCGACATCTACTGGTTGACTTGAGAGCTTTGGCCTAGTAGGGATTGAAGTATTGGGGCCCGTCCGAGCCTGATTAATGTCTCTCCTTAAAATAAAGTACTTGGGTTCTTGACCATTCTGGTGCAAGATGTGTTATGTCTGCTGCCTTGGAACATGTACTTACTTGGGTTGTTCTAAGTGCTAGTGTGTGCTGAGTTTGATCTGTGCCATAGAGATATTCTAGCTCTTTTCCTAATGTACGCTGAGGATTAGAAAAACTGGACAGTATCTGATGTTAGCACATACTGAAAACAGTTTTTTTGCCAGGATGTTTCACACGTCTTGGTTTCTAAAAGGAAGAAAATGGTCCTAAACTTTGAACTGATTGTGCAGACTTCAGTTGCAGTGAATAACTGATGCTTTATTCAGTATGTGTGTTGAAACTTGCAAGAAAACTGCAGAGTTCCAAGTCTAAATAACACATGCCTAATCCATACATCTGCATCCCTAGAAAATAGTATTCAGAGAATTTAATACCCATGTAAGATATCTTCCTGGTCTTGAAAACAAATTAAGTTGCTTTTCACATTATGGACTACATTGGATTCTTAATTACAACATGCAAAATAGAACATTGTGCTTTATCAGTCTAATTTGCTACCGAAGCAGCAGTTCACTAGAGATTAATTTCAAATCTCTAATACTGAAAATGAAATAATTTTAAATAAGATTCAGTCTGTAGAATGCACTCTTCAGGTAAACCCTCTAAATTTGAGTTTTTTCTGTATACTTAGGGACACTACTTCTCCATTGCTCAAAAGAATGTTAGGATTGTTCAGTATGTTGGTCCTCCTTATACATTGTATACTGCACATGATAATACTGAATGCATCTGTGTTTTTTGGTACCTGCCTGATGGTGTAATATTTGAGAGAGAGAGATACCTTCACCTCCAGATCTTTAGCAAAATTCATCATATTCTTGCTCTGCCTGAGATGGAACACCAGTCATTGTGCATCTACTCATGTACGTTTGGGGAGTTGCAGTCAGTGTTCTCTAGACATGCTCTTCCCCAACCCCACCTTCCCCAGGGAAAGGGTGGGATGAAGATAGAGAACTCTTTAGAATCTTCTTCCCTGGTAGGGAAGAACAGGCACCTACCAGAAACTTGTCTCTGAGGGAAGGATGTGACTCTATTCTCCATCTTAGAATAATGGGGAAACAAGAAGATAAAGAGAGACTGCATTGTGTGGCAAGGGTGAGAGAGAAAGATTTGGAGAAACCTGAGGTTAAGTAGATGAATGAGATTGTAATAAAATAGATCGAGGAGTAGTATAGTTTGACACTTGTACATTTCACTCCAGCGCAAACAGGAGACCCTTTGATCTAGAACGTAATACTCCCAAGGGAGTTCTGTACACCTGCGCAATGCAGAATTTGTGCAGAATTAATGTTCCCCCACCACCAAAATGGGCTGCAGAGCTGCTGGGTCCAGCAGAGCCCAGCTCCCTAGCTTGCAAATAAGACACTGCCAGGGGGACGGGGAGGTAGCTGAAGGTTTCCTGGCAGCTGCATTTCCCGGCACACCCTGAAGGAAGGAGGCAGCGGCATGCAGGAAACTCCATACAAACCTGGGACCCAGCATCAGGCTGTTTCTCCCTCTGGATTCCTGGGCTCTGAGAGGGAGGGGGTGTGAGTGTTTGGAATGGAGCGGGGGCCCCATGGCTGAGCTCGGAGGTTGGGGGAGGGTACGAGTGTCTGGACTGGGGTGTGTGGCTGAGCTCGGGGGGGGGAGGGAAGGGTGTCAGTGTCTGGACTGGGGGGTGTGACTTGGCTCTGTGGGGTGAGGGTGCGAGTGTCTGAGCTGGGTGGTGCCCCATGGCTGGGCTCTGGGTGGGGAGGGGAAGGGTGCGGGTATCTGGGCTGAGAGGGGGCACCCTGGAGCTGAGCTCGGGGGAGGGGGAGGTGGCAGAGAAACAGGAACTGGGTTGTCGTAGGGGTTCTTTAATTCTCTACTTCTGGGCAAATTTTTTTTGTCTGTGTTGTTACAGACGTAATTTTTGACAGGTATTTTGAAATAAATTACTAAAATAATTGAAACTGGCATGATTATGTAGTGTTATTTTGATAAATGAAATATGCAGAATTTTGCAGAATTTTTAATTTTTTGGCACAGAATTCCCCCGAGGAGTAACATAAAATAGGCTGCTGCAACCTATATTAAGTAGCAGCTACCCTTAATTTTTTTTAAAAAATGGAGTATTTCAACTATTATATTGTTATATGATGATGTGTTATGACTTGACATGGTGTCATATCATGCACCACCACTACTACAAAGGTGTAATGAAATAATGCAAAAATTATAAACGTAAAAATAATGTTGCAACTTTTTTGTTTTTAAATGAAGATTTTTAATTTTTTTCCCCCAAATAAAACTTTGGGGAACTTCCATTTCATGGAAAATTCTGAAAATGTGTTTTCATTCTGATATGTAATGAAAACGAATTGTAAAATGTCAACATTAAGTTTTGGCCGGCTCTAAATATGATAGCATCTTATGCTATGAACAAATAACTGACAGGAGTGATGTCAGTTGGACTACACCTTTTAGTGCTAATAGATTGAAATTTGGTCCCTGACCAAATGTTAGTGAATGCAAATGATTTAAGATATTCTGCTTTAGGTTAGATTTAGTAGGTTATTTTTAACTTGGAAACCTGATGCCTGCCTTTGTCCTCGACAATAAGTTTTACTGAAATATCAAATATTAACTATTTCCTTCCTTCCCTTTACAAGCTTTTATGTAGTGCTTTACAAAGAGTTTCATTATCCCCATTTCACAGATGGGGAGACTGAGGCATAGAGAAGTAAAATGACTTGAACAAGCTGTCCCAGCAGGCCAAGTAATTATATTTAATTTGTGGTACAAATGCTTCAAAATCTCCTGATCTGACCTTGTTACAGTAGCATTATGTCTTAGCCTAGTAAAAAAGCTTCCAGTACAAATGGTATATAGTAATATCTGAATTTGAATTTTTTTCCTTTTTAACATCTAGTGAAACAATTATTTTAGATGTCAATATTTTAGGATCATATGCTAAATTCTTATTGGACCTTTTTTAAGCAATTACTGGTCATATCCTTTTCTCCTAAATCCCCATTATGTGCTAATTGGTACTTGTCAGTAAGGTATCTGCTGACTTTTCTAATATCTAAAAATCTTATTCACTCTTGCATCTTGCTTAACTCTTATCTCACCTGCATGAATGTGACACTTTTTGCTCTTAAAGATTGTATTTTACTATGTAAATTGTACATGCATAATTTGTCTTTTTTAAGAAAAAGCTTGTTTCCCTGCTGTAAACTTCATTTTGTGTTTCATTTATTTGTTTTATCTCAGGGGAAGGCCTTTCAGCCTCCCACCACTCTTTGCGAACAGGTCTCTCTGCTTCAAATATTTCCCTGAAAGGAGAAAACCGTTTGTCCCTTCTTCTCCATTACCTTCTTCCTTCTTCAAGAGCTGGAACCCCGGCAGATTCAAGGTGTACAACCCCACTACCTACCCCTCAAAACACACCACCCTCCAGTCCTAGCAGCGGCCGCCTGGCAACCACAAGTTCCCAGCCGAGTCAGCTTCAGGGCAAGGAACTGCTGGTGTCACCTGCCAGTGATGCTATTCCCACAGTAATAATCCATCCACCTGAGGAGGATTTAGAAGTTCAGGAAAAGAAGACAGAGGATAATATTAACATACCAGGCAATTATCCAAACTTAAACTGTCCATGTGTGATGCTCTCTGAATCTGGATCACTTGCATTGCAATGTTGAGCACATAGCTTGAGCATAAATGAGTAGTATTTACAACTGTTACCTCTGTCTGCATGTTTTATTTCTTCTGAAGTATGATTGTTTCTTATACAGCATAATAGATCTATTCCAAAGGTTTTTACTCCTAAAAAAAAATTAACACAAACATTGTTGAAGTTCAC